ATATTACACAAATTGGTCCCTTTCTTAACTCTTATGACAGTTTAGCATTCCAACCTCAGAGCTGATTCTTAGTCAAAATATACTTACCTATGACTTACTGAATAAGCCACAACTGAATGGATTTGTACAAGTTCCTGAGCCAAATCCAAACAAGCCACATATGATTTTAGTGCAATATGTATCTCCTGCCCCCTGGACATTTCAGTGTGTGGATAGATGAGCTAACTTGTTTTTATAAGGGCTGTATTCATATATTGGATGACATTGTGGTTTCTTGGATCATACTTTGCAGAATAAGCTATGAATGTCTGGCTGCAATGTATAAAATCATAAGTCACAGCTAACAAACCATCACAGATGAATGCTACCAGCTCAGTGTAAAACCAATCACATTATAGTTTAGCACAGTATGTCAATCCAGTCATTTATTCCGTTTGTTATCTAGTTAGATGGCTTGTAACAACTTATGGGAGGAAAGATGTCTTTCTGTGTGTTTAGCATATAGGCAGAAGATGGAATCTCAACAGGAGTAGCTTCTTTTACCGAATTTTCCTATTCTATACACTCATGTTGCCAACTGTGTCTGACCACTTTAGCATACAGAGTTCAAACGTAAACCAAGTGACACTCCTTAGATATCAGTTAGAATGCCTGATTCCAGTTCTTTAGGATTTCCTACAGGCCCCTTTCAGTACTGCAGAGTCAATATCAAGCAACTAGCTTTTAATAATAATAATAAAGCTGGAAGGGACCTTGGAGGTCATCTAGTCCAACCCCCTGCTTAGGCAGGAAACCCTATACCATTACAGACAAATGGATGTCCAATCTCTTCTTAAAGACTTCTAGTGTTGGAGCATTCACAGCTTCTGGAAGTAGGTTGTTCCACTGATTAATTGTTCTGTCAAGAAGTTTCTCTTTTGTTCTAGGTCAGTGGTGGCGAACCTATGGCACGCATGCCAGAGGTGGCACTCAGAGTCCTCTCTGCGGGCACATAGGCCATGCCCTGGAGATGGCAATCGTCCCTCTTCAACCAGTTGCCCGCTAACTCACTAAGGTCCCACATGGCCGTATGCATCCCAGCACCCATGCGCTCGCTGGCCTCTGTATGCAGAGGTTGATGGTGTCAGGCAGCAGCCGCCCTGCCCCTGCCACACCTTGCCCTGTGACAATGGTACCTCCATCCTGCCTCGCCTCACCCCACAGACAAGACTCCTGTCCACCACCCCACCTGGCAGACCCCCCCTGGATCTCCCCCAACCCTGCCTGGCCCCCACAGGCGTCCCTCCCCATGAGTAAATCGAAGTGATCACACCCACTTTGGCCACTCCCACCCAATCTGCCATGACTACCACAGCCATGCCCACCCAGTGGGCCACGTCTACCTGGCATCCGGCGATAAATAAGTGGGTTTTGGGTTGCAGTTTGGGCACTCGGTCTGTTCTAGTTGCTTCTCTCTTTGGCTAGTTTCCACCCATTGCTTGTCCTGCCTTCAGGTGCTTTGGAGAATACCTTGATTCCCTCTTCTTTGTGGAAACCCCTGAGATATTGGAACACTGCTATCATGTCCCCCCTTGTCCTTCTCTTCATTAAACTAGACATACCCAATTCCAGCAGCCGTTCTTTATATGCTTTAGCCTCTAGTCCCCTAATCATCTTTGTTGCTCTTCTCTGTACTCTTTCTAGAGTCTCAACATCTTTTTTACATCGTGGTGACCAAAACTGGATGCAGTATTCCAAGCTTGGCCTTACCAAGGCATTGTAAAGTAGTATTGACACTTCATGTAATCTTGATTTTATCCCTCTATTAATGCAGCCTACCACTCTGTTGGCTTTTTTGGCAGCTGCAGCACACTGCTGGCTCATATTTACGTGATTGTCCACTAGGACACCGAGATCCCTCACAGTTGCTACTATTGAGCAAGGTACCTCCTAAATTATACCTGTGCATTTGGTTTTTCTTGCCTAAATGTAGAACCTTGCTTTTTTCACCATTGAATTTCATTTTGTTATATAGTGTCCAACATCCAAGTCTGTCAAGATCCTCCTGTATCTTAAGCCTATCTTCTGGAGTGTTGGCTATTCCTGCCAGCTTGGTGTTGTCTGCAAATTTGATGAGTTCCCCATCTATCCCCTCATCCAAATTATTGATGAAGATGTCTTAAGAGACTGCATTTGAGATTTCAGTAGTTATTTATCTTCTCTCCTCTTATCTTACAGTATTATTATAATTTGGGCCTAGATAATGCTAAAACTAAGCAGGTTGTAGGTTGGGTGGAGGACAGGCTGCTTGGTTTAGGCTACTCTAAATTCCCCTGACATGAATTCTATAAGTAAAAGTACCTATTTACTTGTACTTTTAAAACCCCAAAGTGACATATATTGCACACTCTCCTTATTTTACCCCACAACTTCCTTGGCTTGTGAGAAAGTGAGTGGCCTAAAGTAATCTAGAAAGCTTCCAAAATCGAGGGTGATCTCAAACTGGTCTCCTCAGTCTTTCCAACAATTTGACCCTTGTACTGCACTGGTCCCATTAGAGCAGTGGTTCTCAATCTGTGGTCGAATGACCATTTCACGGGGGTCGCCAAACAACGCAGTCCGCCATTTTTTCCCCCTTTTCCTTAGCTGTGCTACTCCCTTTTATTCTATTGGCTTTTGAAAGCCAATAGAATAGATTCTTTTGAATAGAGTCTAATTCTATTGGCTTTCAAAAGCCAATAGGAATTGTCCAGGCTGTCTCTGCCCTGCTGAGCCCACCAAAAGTCCCATTCTGCAAACGGTGCTGCACCAGTTGAGTAGTCCTCGGGGTCGCGGCATTAAAAAGGTTGAGAACCACTGCATTAGAGCCCCTTGAAACTGAACTTCTGATGACTTCACGAAAAGGCCTTAACTGATTTCTTAAGAATTTCTTGAGAACATTCTGGAGCTAATAGGACATTGTCTTCTCATGGGATGTTATTTCAACTTCTCAGTCGAAGTGACAATCCTAGGTTTTTGTGTGATGGCCTTTCATCTAAATATTAATATTTACTTCTGAGACAATTAGTTTAAAGTCTCTAACAGATCTAAACTAACATTAAAATCAGATGGATAAGCTCAGCTGAATTTAATATTTACTCTAAGCACAATGAAGATCTATCATGTTGTCTAACTCTCTGATGCAGCCCGTGACAAAACCATACACCTAATTTAAAGCCTTTTATCTACTGTACCTCCCCATTTGCTGCATTCATTTCACAAGAAGTGGCCAGCTGCACACAACTACCTGTGTTCAGTTGCTAGTCTCCAGCTGCCAGCAAGCAAATCTGAACAGCAAACATCACACACTAAAAATATAATTTCTTTCACTATTTGACCAGCGGATGAGCCCCATCCGTTTTGTTGCCTGCTTCCTATCTCAGCTGCACCTGAAGCTGCCTGCCAGTTACTCGTGCAGCTTCAGTGCAAGAAATGCTTACAGGAAATGGTATTCATCCAAACACCCCACAAACTGTGCCAAAACACCCAGGGCTTTTTCAGCTTCTCTGTTCATATCAGTCAAGGGTTAGATGATATGGAGAAGGGATGGGGGAGTATGCAAGCAATTGGATGAGCTCAAAACAAGTTGCAATTAAGCTGTTTTTAATATACTAGCAATAATGTACTTTGCACAAACTGCTAACCACCAATGATTAAAGGTATTAAATGTAATTAGGGTTGCCAGAGAAACAGGAAGATTCATCTCATAACCACTGACATATTTCTGATACAGGAAATGTGGCACAATGCAGGAGCTTTGAGGGCCATATTCCATTTCAAGGTTTGGTACTTTTTCAGTTTTGAAAAACATGTTTTGCACTTGACAACACCATAGCAATAAATCAAAAGAACCTCATCGTATCCACAATTCACTAACCTATTTGACTCTTGAGTGTCTTTTTCCTTGCTATTTTTTTAAGTGAAAGATCAGAAGGCAAGAACCTGTTTGGTTTCTTTTAAAAAAAAATAAATCTCAGCCCTTAGCTTGAGACTCAGAAACCGGAATTCTCTCTCAAGTTGGGAATAAATAAATCAATTCATGAGAAACAGATGAACTAGGGGATAGGAAAACAGCATTTTTATTTTGAAAAATAAAAGGACTTTTCTCCTCAATTTCTCTCAACCTTTAAATTAGGAATAAATATAATAAACCAACTCATGAGAAACAGATGAGGCAGAAGAGGGGAACATAGTTTCATTTAAAAATGTTTAATAGTTTTTCCCTTGAGTTTCCCCAAAGTGCTTAAAATTTTAATTGGGAAATCCAACTTTGTTCTTACAGACCTTAACTCAATACACACTTACCTGAAGGAAATCTGATTCGGTTCAATGGCACTTGTTTCTGTATAGATATACATTGCCATATTATTGCAAAAGCTTACCACTGGTTTATATTTAACAAGAAATTTGGCTCAGGAAGAAAGGTTTGATTTTTTTTAAAAATGAAGTATATTTACATGTAGGAGAGAGAGAAAAAAACCCAATGTTTGGGAGTTGCTTTGTGCAATTGTGTTAAGCCAAATCAAGCATTTATTGGAGAGATTATTGCCTCTGTGTTGGTTTTTATCCATCTTCCAACATTTTTTGAAAGAGACTTTGTTAAATTTCCATTAACTGTTGTTAGGGGTTGTGACATGATTAAAATCCTCTCTTTCTCAGAGAGGTGCTAGCATGAGTCAAACACATAATTCAATCCAAGGTGTGCTTCTTGGAAAGCAAGTCCTGCCTTTCATTCATTTTGCTTCCAAAAAAGGATTGATTTTTGCCCCCCTTGCTGGCACCTTTGATTGCCCAAATGGGAATTAGCATTCATTCTTTCACATTCTTATTTGTTTTGCAGCAGTAGGAAAGCTGCAAAACATGTAGTATCTACCACAGGGCAAGATGAAATCATCCCAAAACAGGGAACTGTAATTTCTTTTGTCATTTGTTCTCAGAAGACTGTCTCCCTCATCCTCCTCCCCTCCCCATAACAGAACTCAGTAGTCTCCAGCAAAGTACTTCAGCCTTGATTATTATTCAGATCTGGTGTATCCTCCACGCTTCTAGAGCTCAGGCCCAACTTTCAATGAATTCTCTCCACACTCCTTAGTTCAGAGACCAAATACATGCTTAGCAAGCAGAAAACCCCAAACAGCCTTCCTGCTGGTACTGACAATGCTGAGTTAGAGAAACCAACAGCTTGCTGAGGTACAAGCTAGCACCTTCCATTCTGTTGATCAGGACTTATCCTGGAGACATCTGGTAGGAAAGTTTCTTTTCAGTTAATTTTGATTTCTCAGAGACAAGAGATATATTACTTTGGGGTTATGAAACATCCTCTGAACCAGGGGTTTCAGTTACCACAGCTTGACCGCATTCTTTGAGGAAGACTGATCTGTTATTTGGCTTTCTTCATAGCATTTCCAGCAAATAAGCTGTTGCTGCTGCTACCCACTAACTGTGCCATGTTCTTTATCTCTACACAGCATGCAAGGTTAGGCAAAAGCTGACATTGTTTGCTTAATGGTAAGCAGCATCCCGGTGACTATAGTTGGAAAACTAGTTAGAATGATTTGGTAAATGCTACCTATGTAAAATTCACCTTCCTGCACACACCCCAACCTTATAGGGCAGAACACCCACCACATTCATATTAAATCATTCTTAAGGATTAGATGTCACGGGCAGTGGAGAAAGAAGCCTTTTACTATGATTCCATCACAATGACTCATTATATTTAAGTTTCCTTAAGAAATTAAAATTGACTTCTTAAGAAGGTACCAATGTTTTCTATTACAGAACACCATGTTCCAGCCCATTATGTACTAACCAGTTTGGTGATAATAAATGTGTGTGGCTCCTCCCTCTTTCCTGCACTGTTTCAGCATTCAAAAGCAAAAGCATTCAAAAGCAAAACCACTTGCCTATCACTTGCAAGTCCAGCTTTTGAGAACTTCGGATGTCATGAAGTCCCATTTACGGCACCACAAAGGTATTACCACGGGTCTCTCTTGCCTGCAACTGAAAAGCAAGCATCCAGGTTGGCCACTTGAAATGTGTTGCAGCCAGACCTCAGGATCCCCAAAGTATCAATAAAAGGACTCACACCACCTGTCATTTTTGGAAAGGTTTATAGACCTTTGTAATGACTGCATGACACAGAGTTTACCTTTCTCCTCCCTCTGGTTTCTGAAGGCACCAAGGTGCCTCTCAGGGGCTGCGGCCCTCCTGCTTCATAGCTAGCCTTTGCCATCCCGGCCTAGGCCAACTGCAGAACATCAAATGCACTTTCCACATATTACCATTTAATATTTACATTCAAGCAATTCATAATAATTGGAAGCTTATAGTTTAGACATTTCTAGTAGCAGCAATTTCTATAATAGCTTTAGATTATTTGGGGGTGGGGGTTGCACACTGAGATAGAAATCTGTGTGTGTGTGTGTGTGTGTGTGTGTGTGTGTGTGTGTGTGTGTATGAATGATGGTCCTGCAGTTTTATGAAAACAAGGAGCGAGGAAATCAAAAAAAGAGAAGTGGCTTTTAAAAAAGGGAAGGAAAGAAAATATTTTGATATAGCTTTTTATATATATATAATATATATGTATTTAATATAATTATATATATATATAGGGCAATCTAGGGAACTCCATAAATCTAGGCTTTTTATATTTCATTATATAAATACCTACAAATAAATATAATTGCATGACCCACCTGGGGAGGCCTGCCTTCAGTTCAAACAATACATTTTTAGCAACACCACATACAAACGGGAGCATGAACCACTGAACAAGTTAGCACTGTTAAAATATAATACTATAGAACTCTTCTCCCGTGAGTTATCTGGGGAGCCGGCACCCCTGATGCCCAAGACTCTGGCAGGCCAAGAGCGCCTTGGAGTAAACCTTCAGTCCCGAAGGCCAAGGGGAAGCCTTGCATCCTAACCCTCCCTTCTTCCAGGCATCAAAGTACATATGTTTGATCTCTGGAGAAGACCTACTCCTTGCTGCTGCTCCGCAGCGCCAAAGAGTTTCTCCGGATAGAGCTAGAGCGGTATCTTAAGGGAGGAGCCAGGCTGCCAAGGGAGAGAGGCAGGAGGAGGAGCTTGCCCTTAACTCCTCACAATGTCACATATTCCTTAAAGGTTACTGTCAGGCAGTTTGCAGTCACATCTGTAATTATTATATTCCCAAAAAAAGGCTTGAACTCCTGCACGGGCTCCTCTTCCTCCTCCACTTCAAAGTGTTCCACCTGCTTCTCCGGCTCTGGCCCCGACTGCTCTGGTGACACCGGCACAATCTCTGGCTTCACCTGTACTAGGCCAGGCTCTCTGTCCCCCCGAGCCTTGACACACCGCAAGTCTATGGGCTCATCTAAGTCAGAGTCCAACAGGATGACCTCAGGCTGAGAGGTGGGAAAGGCCGGGGACTCGAGTTTTTCCGGGGCTGGGGAGTTTGGGCAGGTGGGGGCACTGATGCTCCGGGAAGTGAGGCGCTTCTTGCCACTCTCCTTGTCTCTGTGGGGCTCAGAAAGGCAGCGTTTCCGGGAGCCACCGTAACTGGGTGAAAGGCTTAGTTCTGGGGTAGGGGAGATCTGCTCCTGCTGGCTGGAATCCAGGGTCCAGGAAGCCAGGCTGGGCTTGGTAGTCAGCTGCAGAGGCTGCTGCTCAGGAACAGGCAGCTCTTGGCTGGAGGCCACTGTCTTGGAAGGGCTGCTTCCTATCTCAGAAGGAAGCTGACTGGCCTCTGTGGCAGCTTTCCCTCTGAGACCGCTACTCAGCCACCTCTCCTCCCAGGGCTTTTTCCAGGACTCCTGCCTCTCCTCAGACCCTCTCTTAGTAGTCCTCTCCTCAGCTACCCGCTTCTTCGGGGCCTCTCCAGATTTAATCTTTACTGCCTGCATGCCATTCTCCATGTACTTGCTCATGACAATCACAATGCGTCCATTCTTATTTTTGTTCTTCACAATTTTCATTTTGCCACCAATGCCATTGCTGGACACGCCCTCCCGGGGAGATGCTGGTGGTGGCCCTGTGCCACTGGAGAGGTTCTTCTCTGCCCCGTTCTTTCCTTCAACCCCACTCAAACTCTTGACAGGATTCAGCAAACTCTTTGTGGAGCCATGGGACCATTTGTCTGACTGGGACATTAAGGGGCTTTTGCTATGATCCAAGCAGGCCTGTCCTTGCTGTGGCTCCTTGCTGTTAGGCTGGTAGTGAGGTTCATACATCTTGGGGTCCGGCTGATAATGGTGGTGCTTTTTGCTGTTCAGCTGATAGTAGTACTTCCCTTTACTGTGCGACTGGTGTTTGATGCTGCTCTCCTTGCTGTTGGGCTGATACTGATGGTGCTTCTTGCTGTTGAGTTCGTACTGATGCTGCTGACTTTTGCCTGAGCTGCTGAGATCCAGCTTGGGCCTGTTTTCCACGGCTGGGTCCTGCAGGCCGGTGAGGATATTAGAGCGACGTGCAAAAGATGGCAGCTGTAAGAGGGGAAAAATATATTAGGAATTTCAGAAAAGCTTCTGGAACCTGATCAAAACAAGCATCTGGCTTGGCAGCTCAGAACACTTTACAAAGTCATAATAAAGGGATGCTCCTGCTCTAACTTTTCCCAGACACAGCTATATAGGAGACTAGAGGAAATGGCATTCTTTCACACAATCACCCCTTTGAACACAGAGGCAAAAAACTACAGCATATGTGGCAAGCCAAAGAAAAACAGGAGCCAGAACAAAACATCCTACCCATTGCAGCTGCATGCCTTTTCTCTGGCCAGTTGTTCCTTGGCCCTTTGCTTTCCTAATCCCTAGACCCCAACTAGGCATCATCTTTCCTAACTGGAAGGATTTATTCTAGAGAAGGCAAGCCAGTGAGTTGTAGCCAATCGGCTTCTTTCTGCTGCTTTCAAGAAACCTTTTAAATCTGGAACACACAGTTATGGACTCTCAGGATTCAGCCCAAGCCTGATGAATCCTGTGCCATGTTAGAGTTTGAACTGGCCTTGAGGCCTTCTGAAGCCCTTGTTAGGAAATGTGCTGGCTGTAAAAGAGAAAGAATGGGTAGAACAGATCTTCCTAAGGCATTTATAGTTAACAAGGCAAGGTTGCACATGGGTCTCTGAGAACATGATGAAATCAAGATGAAATTCTCCCCCTTGGGATATGCACTAGAAAAGGAAGGGAATATTAATTAATTGAAGGAAAACAAACTAGTCACCAACAAAGGCTCTTGAAAAGAAAAGAAAAGAAACAAAAACAGGTCAGCCTGTTCAGCAAGATTCTACCTTCAGGAGTCAATTACTTTCACTTTTAGTATAGATTATTTCATTTTACTCCAATGAAAAAAAAAAGCAGCACAATTAATTGAATTTACCTGAACTACCAGTGGCTTTGGTTTTGGTCCTCGCTTGCGGTATCCCATAAGTTGCTCTTGCCTCTCCCTGAAGAAAGATTTTTTTAAAAAATCATCAAAGACACAATTAGAAATGCTTGACCTCAGAAGCATAATTGGACCTCTATTGTACTATTTAACACAGACATAAGATGAAAATGATGATCCTAGGCAGACTTCCTGGGAATAAGCGTCACTGAATCACAGTCTTTTTTAAAGAGAGACACATGGGACCGCCCTGAGTGTTTATAACAGAGCAGCAGGAAGAGACTACAGGAAACACGAGGAAACACTGAAAGGTCACAGGAATTAATACCAGTCAGTAAGCATGGCTCTTTCAAGGGCCTGTGTTATAGAGAGCGATGCCATCCAGAAATAAGCAGGAAGGGAGGAGCAATTATTTATTTTCATACAGCATATATTAAATGGGCAGATCAGCAAGTGGAAAAGCCAAGATGGGGAGGGGGGGGTGTTATTTCATACATCAAGACGCAGGAATGAGCTAAAATACAAGCATGCACACTACAAATATAAATCACCAAGACAAAAAAAAAAAGATCTATGAAGACACAGGCAAATCTGAAAATTTCTCCTTCCCAGTGCCCAGAATGTCACCAGTGCTGCTCAGACATCCAAAAGCACCAATTTAGATTTCAGCTATCTTCATTTCCTGCAAACCATTCATCTATCTGCTCAAATTTCAGTTGAACTGAAACCAGAACTTCTTCTGAAGACCTTTGCACCTTGATTTATAAACTGGCTACTGTTTTGTTAAAAATGTGAATCTGAACCTGCCACCCAATTCTGAGTTTACTGATACTGCTGCTTTATAAATCTCCTCAAAAGTAAGTCCCACCATATTCTATGAAGCTTCTACACAGCTTCAGATTGTTTGTTCTCAGCCAAACAACCAGCTTTATTTGAAAGCAAAGATGCTTAAGATGTGCAAGCCAGCCCTTCAAATCTACTGGAAAACACAACTGCTTCCAGCCAAATTAAACTATTTAGAATATGTAAAACAATTCTTCACTTCCATTGCTTCCATTGCCCCATTCACTCTTTATCATAGGAGGCATTCCTCTAATTCCAAAACTGTATTTTGGTGGTTTCCCATTCAAGAACAAACCAGTACTTATTTTTAAGGTCAGTGAAGTTGGGTCATATTAAGCATAACAGTACTCAAGAATGCCATATAAAGCAGGCGAGCTCCAAAAGACAATCCAGATTTTGTACAACAGTAATATGCAATAGACTGCAGGAAACAGCAAACCAGATAAGCTTTGGCCCAGAAGAACAGGCTGCAGTGCTATAGGAACTATCAGCAACAAGCATCCAACTTCCCACCCAGCACTGCCAGGGAACCAGGGCGGCTGCAATAAGAAGCAGGCGCTGCACTGGATGCTAATCACCTCATTAGGATTCACATGATAAGGCGCTTCTCCACACCGCAGCCTCATAGGCCGCTCATTCGCTGACAACACGAAGGGGGGGGATTCTGCTCCCCCTTCCGGTTTGCTTAACGGCAAATTAACCAAATTATCGACCTAATGCAGGAGAGGGAAGGTCGTCTCCCCGACCAGGTGCGGCCTTTGCTTACCGCGACTGGCGACAACCGCACAAATGAGGGGCGGGAGACGAAGCCACCTAAGGGCTGCCGATTCTCCTAACCTCTGCAACTTGAGGGCCTACGGTTCCCGGCGCCCCCGTGTTTAATCCTTTGCAAGACCAAGAGGTTTGTTCGGAGCCTCCAAGCAGGATAGAGGTTAAGGAACGTTCCGAAGGGGCTCTGGCAACGGGCAGCATTTTAGCAGCTCGGGAAAAGGCCAGAGCAAGAGGGCCGTCTCTTCCTCAAGGCCTGAAGATGACACTTGCCTCGAGGGTCAAGATCCTGCAGGAAATCAGAAGCGCGCAGCCAAGGGCGGCAGCGGCGGCGGCGGAGGGAGGATGCAGCCCAGCCCTTCAACCTTCGCGATGCTCCTCCTAGGCCATCCCAGGCCCCGCCCGGTATGCATTTTGCAAGCTGCCACCGAGACGGGGCGAGGGGCCTCTTGCGCGGGCAGTTTTGCGGTCGCGATTCCTCCCCGGCAGGCTTGGCAAAAACTGCCGAGCGCAGGAGCGGCAGGGCGCAGGCGGCGCATACCCGCCGCCCCGCTCCCTTCCGTCACGTGCAGGCGCCACAAGCCAGCAACGAGCTTAAGCCAGGCAACTTCACGCTGCAAAGGAAGTCCCGCCACGCAGCGAAGCAGGGGTTAAAATGAAGTTCCGTAACGTGCAGCGCGACTTGCACAAGGCTGCCACGCTGCCGCCGACCTGCCCTGCAGCCGAAATAGGGGGCACTTTTCTTCCATAGCCGCGGGCTCCTTCGTCCCCTGCTGCAGGAGCGAATGTTTGCAGGCTTTCCTCTCCTCCGAAGAAGCCCGACACTTCCCCGTGTCAGCAACCCCAAGCTCCCACGCCGAGGCATGCACTCACCTGTTTTGAAAAGCGATTAGCAGCCTGGGATCCAGGATATTTTCTTCCGGCTCCCACGTGTTATACCTTGCAAAAGAAGAAAACAGGGCATTGTTGGTATATTTTAAACCTTAACAATAGCTTAGCTATTCAGAGAGCACTATTTGGGAAGGAGCCCTTATTCGCAGCTATCCCCTCTGTGCGGTGGGGCCATTTTAAAAACTGGCTGCAATAGCCACCGCCTCCCTCCCATTTTCTAGGACCTGTTTCAAAGTGCGCATTCAGGACTGGCGCTAACTCGAGCAGGGGGGATGGGTTGGGTGGCGGGAGGGAGGGAGGTTATGCAGATCTGTTTATTTAGTGCAGTTATTATTCCAAAGGAATTCCATGCATATTATAGAGAACGGGGTTCAAAGCCCTGCCGATCCCCTCCGCTATTTCTAAGTCTGACGGCCCCTTTACCCCTCTCGATGGGCTCCGTCATTTCAGACTTCAACACCCTCTCCCCCCCCCCCGCTCCATGTCCCTTAAAGGTTCATTTGCAGCTCCTTTGATCCAGCAGAAGTAGCAGACCGGAGGGTTGCTCAGGCTAAATGTGCAGCTTCACTGCCAGCAGGATAGGAACCTGGTGACAGTGATCGCCTTTCGCCGCCCTCTTCATCCCGAGTGGGTTCAAGGATTTCAAGCATGGGTGTTTTTTAAAAAATGGGTTTTCTCCTCCCTCTCCCCCTCCTCCCCCTGATCTCCGGGGCTGCTCGGTTCTGCAATATGGAGCCTGCTTTCCAAGGGAAAGGAGCCATTTTCTGCAACTGCTGCACATCAGTCCGCCTTGCCTTCCTCCCCTGAAGCTGCTGGCTCTGCACCCCCACCCCCACCCCCGGTCTCCTCTTTCTATTCTGCCGCCTTCCCAATTAATGGGCTCTCCCTTTTTAACCCATGCATAAAAACGGAGGCACTTTTCGGATTTCTGGAGCGTGGCAGAATATTCGCGGGGGTTGGGTCAGACACTGGAGCCCGCGTTAAGGACACCGGGTCCTTACAGTGCCCGATTCCCCTCACGAGACTTACTTGGAAGACCATCCCCTCCATTTGACGAGATACTCCGCTCGGCCCTGCAAGAGAAGGATAAAAGACGTCAGGATCCGGAGAGATCTCTGGAAGGCTAACCCCTTCGGCTGTTCTCCAGATTCCAGCCTTGAGCTTTAAGACTGGCTGGTCGCTCACCTTCCGGATTCGCTGCTTTTCGATGCTTTCCACCGCGAAGACATGCTCCCCCACCGCCGGCAGCTCCATTTTTGTAGATTTTTTCTCAGGGGGACGCGATCCGGAGGAGGGGAACCGGGGCTTGCGTCCTGCAGACAGACGAGTCTTCCTCGCCGTTCACTTCGCCTTTCCAGACGACTGAGCTGCAGCTTTTCGCAGCAGCGCAACTCATGCAAATCCAGTTGGGGACGTCAGAGGAGGCGGGGACCTCGCTGCCTGTCAAAGAGGAACGCGGCTAGACGATTGGCTCGGCGCTTTCGAGGGCTGGAAAAAGGGGAAAGGGAGAGGACTTGAGGGAGGAGTGCCTTTACCTCCCCCCCCCTTCCCTTTTGCAGGCGGTGGTGTGTATGCGTGTTAGCAAGGATTTGGCTGCTCCGTTGCTCAGCAAACTACCCTCAGTCCCCTCCCCCGCCCGTAATGTTTCGAAGTGTTTCAATGCAGACAATGCCAGGATCGAATACAGTTCCGATGTAATACAAGCGCCAGGGCTATGGAGATCACCCTCCGGCCCTCTGTCTGGTCCTACCGCCTGATGCAGCCCTGAACCCCTGATTTTCAACGCCACGGAACAACCAGGAGGACGAAAAGTTAAACTGAAGGATTGGCACCTATTTCAGGGGTGCTTCAGTCCGGCGCTGTCAGAAAAGAGGATCGTCCGCAGAAGCCCAAAGAGCACCTAATTATGTTTTTTTCTGTGTTTACTTTCCCTTGCCACGAACTCCTTCTGCCACGGGAGAAGAACTTTTTGGGTGCTTGGTGGTGATGAGTGTTTGGATTGAAGATCTGGTAACTTTAGAGGCTAGTCCCGGGACAGATTGAGGGCTTTGGGGTTAACTTGGAAAATGCGAAGCCCTTTGTGTAGGCTTTCTGACACTTCACCTTCTTCCCCTTTTGAGAGTCAACAGTTTTTTCGAGTTCTCGGCAGGATTTCAGCTCTGATCTTTAAGTCCGGGTTAATTTCTGATACATGCATAAAACAATTCGTCTAGCTGCGATCTCCTTCAAAAGAGGCCCCTGGGCTTTCATTTCCCTGAACATCAGGAGTATCTCTTCGATTACCACACCTGATTAGTGCAGCTCGGCCACTTTAACTGACACCGCGCGCACAGGGGCGGGAGAGGGAGCACAGAAGTCGAAAGAGAGGGGTGTGACGATCTCTAGGAAGTAGAGTGGAAGGTGAGCGAAAGAAGCTGGAAAGGCGGAGAATGGGCAGGATGCCAAGGCGGCAGAGATGGGCGCCTGCGTTGATGCAAGGGTTGCATTAGTCCCCGGGTCCTGATCCCGCGGAAGACGCAGGAATGCAGCGCGTAGGAGAAAGATAACTGCCTGAGTGCGGTCGAGAGAGACCATGGAAGCCAATCAGCTGTTGATGTGAGGGGGGGGAGGCTATGAGAAACGGGAAACAGCAATCTGGGATTGCGGGGGGGGGAAACATTCCACCTATTTTTCCAAAAATAGGCATAGATTTTAAGAGCGACCAACATAGATTTTTGGGGTGGTGAAGAGCCGAAATTGTCCTCCCGGAAGTTAGACAAAGACTAAGTGAAGAATTTTTAGGGTACTGTGGAGCAATTCTGCTACTAAAGACGGGACAATCAGCATAACAGAGATGCCAGGGGAAAGCTCCATCTCTAGGCTAGCAGTGGGGAAACGTAGGGTTCTAGATATGCCCCTTCCTGTCCGGAATAACCTTGGAGAATAATATACCTAAATGGTGTGTTCTATGACAGAGACCTATATAATTTGATGAAAGATGGAGTCAGTTCTGTAGGCAATGCGAACAGGAATCTAGCTATTTATTTCACACACACACAACCCACCACAAAAGGCGCACGCACTCAAGATTGCATTGATTCCGGAAAGGGCGCAGGACAATTCTTTTCAAAGATCGGACTGCGACGTGTCAAGAGGAGTTGCCTCAGACCCGAGGTCAGGTGGAATCCTCTGTCCACACAGGGTCCAGAAAATTCTTTATTAATCTAAGTAAAGGGGCGGATTTTCAATAGTAGAGGAATGGACCTTTCCATATTATCTGAAAAACAGAAGCCGGCTGACGTTTAAGTACTGAACTACTTGAATCCGAGCTGATCTCGCTCCAAGGGACCCCTAATCTACATCTATGTTAGGAAAAGGAGTCGCCGGGAAGCAGGCGTCTGGAGTGGAAGGCGGGGACACCCGCTGCTTTTCCAACACGTTCAACCCTTGGAAAAATAACTGGGCTTCGATCATTTCTCATTAGCTATCAACCACCTTTGGCTTCAAAACACAAGAAGATGGGGCGTTTAAAATGATGAACTCACTCCTCATTTTCCCCTTTTCTATATATATATATATATTTTCCCGTGCGAATAGCTGAATTTTTTTTTAAGAAAAAAAATGGTAGTTCCTCGGCAGTGCGCCCCCTACTGTCATCTAGCATAATTCAATACGGCTCTGCTATCTGAAAACTTAATTTAACGGGAGGAAATGTCAGAAAACCCGAGAATCAGAAAGTTTGGTAGGAACAGAGTGGGTAGAGGGCTTATAGGATGTCTTCCTGTGCCCATGCAAAAATGTATAGAGTGTGAATTTGGGCTGCCCAAGATTGCAATAGTCAGTCTCCTCAAATCAGCGTGGATTTCCCCCCCCCCCCATCCCGTCTGACTCTCAAGGTGGAGAAGGCTGGGTTTATGTGGACAGCACATAAACCAGCGTCCTTCCTCAATACCTTCCATAGAAGCCTTTTAGGTCTGAGGGGGCCAGATTCTGACCCCTCAGTGCTACCTAGCAGTGAGGATGCTTCAGGTGGGGGCCTGAGGAAACCTGAAAGTCAGCCCCTGGGATTCTGCCCATTTGAGCTCAGGGAGGCTTGCGCGCGAGTAGCTCTAGCGTTGTGTTCTTCAGGGCGCGTTGTTGGCGCGTGAAGATTTCCCCCACTGTTTAGATACCGTTAGCAAGTATGTCTGAAGCCGAACGTCATGGATCTTTCTAGGGGCGGACCAGCTGATTTCGTCAGCTGTCGGCAAAAGGAAAGGTAGACGTGGAGCGTTCTTATCGCAGCTTGAAATTAGAGAGAGGGTTTGCCAGGTTGATGGCTTTTGAGCTGACGACCGTAAACTAGAGAAAGGACGCGCTGAGATTCCTCTCGCTTCCATTGTAGCCCAAACAAAATGAAATGGCAGACTGATTTGAATGCCAAATTGCACAACTTTAAAACTACTACATGAGCCCCCCTCAACCCTCTCTTCCCCCAAATCTTTCTTTAACTGATTCACCCAAGTGGAGTAATTTAGGCAGGGTAAAGGTTTTCTTTCCGGTGTCCAGTGGAAGCCCCACCTTCTGCCGACATGCTGAGATGGACTCGCTGTTCCGTCACTAACATCCGACGTGACTTAATCAGACGCAATCCTCCAAAAGTTGGAGCGAATCAAGCCTGCCGAGACCAAAGGTTGCCAGCTGATAGGAAGCCACTGAGGGAGGCGGCTGAAAAGTCTGCAATAATTTAATGGTACCGAAAGAAAAATGGCTGCCTGTGTTGGAAAAATACAATCGCTTCCCCCCCCCCACCTGCATGGTATCAGATACCAAAAGATTCCTCTGTCTTTTAGGAGCTCAGACTGTTTCAGCAGGCTCTTCTCACAATGAGATCCGAGTCTGCATTTCCTTCCCTGCCCGTCTCATCTGCAGTCGGGATCACCCAGCAATACCGTAAGAACTTTAGCACCGATCGATAACTTTCTGAATTCACTCCAGCCGCTTATTATCAGACAGCTTGTGTCAAGGAAGGGTTCTTGGTCCAGAATCCCGGCAAAATAGGCTGGTTCCCGATCTTTTCTCCTGATTTCAGTTGCATTCCTGCTGAGAAACTTAGGCTTTAGGATCCATATCATTCCCGTTAAATCGTCTTGTACTGTAGATCTGTTTATGGGGCTCTGCCTCAATTATTCCTGGAGCATAGCTTCTCTTTTTGGAAATAAGCACTTAAGGAAATAGCAGAATCTCAGCTAGAAATCTAGGCACCAAGGGAAAAAAAGGACCCTGTGATTATGAGCTAAAATGAGCAGAGTGTATTTATAATAATTCTCCGCCTAGAGAAGTAGAGCGATTAGCAGCTCTTAGTTCCGACTGCCTCATTCAGACATACGCACTGAATTGTGTTTTCCGCGTTTTGTAGCCATCAGCAAATAGTCCCTATGCAGAAATAAGGTCTGAGTTTAATCGGACTTCTTTCCAAGGAAGAATCCTTAGGATAGCGGTCATAAATGGACACATATGTACACACACCCAAACTCCCCCTAGCTCTTTCTATTTATTGGACCTTGTCAACTGAATCCAAGCTCCAATTCAGAAATATCGATCAACTGCTCTGTTTAAAAGGAAGCTGTTCACACCCCGAACTGAGCAGCTGCGTTTACTTGAATGCAAATTCCACTACTGCTGCAAAGAAGTTTTGCACTGAGTAAAAGAAACAATTCGGCGGGAGTCTTCATTAGGTTGTCGTGGCGATCGCCTCTGGTTGTGGGGAATCTAGGGAACCTCATTTTTGTCTTGGGGAAGCAGCAGGCAGCCGACGTGGCAGCCTTTTGGGGTTTGGCCGCTTGTTGAACGGTGGTTTCGCTGGATGCTCCAATGTGACGCCTCCTCAGAATAGTTGCTGGCTGCTCGCAGGCCAAACGGAACAGGTCAGATAGTGAGAATTGAATGACAAAGAATCCTCGACATAACAATTCGATTGAACCCCATTTCCACCAGAACTGATCTATAAGAGTCTGGGCAGGAAAGATGAAAACGGTGCTTAAAACAACGCTTGCATTTAATGCAATCCGCAAACAGTTCGCCCCCTCCAACCGGACTCCCTGAAACGCGGCCGGGTGTTTGCTTTTGGAAGAATTCCTCAGACTCCGATGTAGGAAGCGAGGCCGAGTCCCCGGTCTTGAAGCGTCCCAGGCTTTTCCTCGAACCCCGGCAATCCCAAGATCCCCGCCAGCATTTCCCAGCGACGCAAGAAACGGCGCCGGCACTGACTCTTCTTCCCAGCCGTGAGCTCCCTGGTCTGCCGGGAGCCGAAGGGGTTAAGCTTTCCCGCATGCAAATGAGGCCGGAGTTGTCAGCCACGTGTGTCGCTCGTGAGGGAAGGAAAGCCAGAGCCGATCGCTCCTTGCAGTCCCGGTCTCGATCGCCGTCCGCTGGGACAGCGAGTGGCTCAACAGCGGCCTGGCTGAGCGGAGGGGAAACACTGCCAATCCGTTGCTCGGCCCGGAGCCGAAGGCGGGATTGCAAACAAGAAAAAAGACCGCGGACAAGTTCTTGAAGAAACAGGCGGGAAGTTGCTGGGCCTTGCTAACCGAAAGCAGCTTTGGTGACTTTTGTTATTAAAAATAACACCGCTATGGAATTGGGGCGGGGAGTTTTCCCGCCATTTAATGAGGAGGGTGTCTGATTGCAAGATTATGGTATGCCTTGAGGAAAAGGCACACTTGGTCAAACGTATAATTGTTTTTTTTTTCCAGTTTCTGACTCCATCTCAAATGCAAGGCCATTCATACATTTAGGAAGACTTGCATGGTGATTAGATGTACAGATATAGGACTGAGCCAGTTCTAAGGCCCTTTCCTTAGCAATTTAATGGGTCATCCAACATCTGCTGATTCAATAAGTATTGACCACATTCTTTGAGTTTCCTGGACTGTGGCCTCCTCCAATATTCATAGTGCTTCATCTCAAAAAAAAAAAAAATCCCCCTCATGGCTTGGGCATCAATGATAGTGTCACTTTAGCCTGCACCAGTGAAGCCACACTGGAAATACTGCATCTAGCTCTGGTCACCATACTACAAAAAAGAACTGAGACCTTAGAAAGAGTACAGAGAAGAGCAACAAAGATGATAAGGGGTCTGAAGGCTAAACCATACAGTTACAGTTGAAGAAAGTAGGTATATCTAGTAGTGTAACAAAGAGAAGGACTAGGGTTGATATGATAGCAATCTTCCAGTACTTGAAGGGCTCTCAAGTGGGGGAGGGATGTCGACCTATTCTCCAAAGCAATAGAGGGCAGGGCAGGAAATAATGGATAGAAGATCCTTAAAGAAAGGGCCAGTCTAGAACTAAGGAGAAATTTCCTCACAATGAGAACAATCAGTGAAATACCTCACCCCCAGAAATTGTGGGTGCGCCATATTGGAAGTTTTCAAGAAGAAATTAGATTTATCTTGAATGGTATAAAGTTTCCTGCCTGAGCAGGAATGAGACTCCAAAGTCCTTTCCAACCCTGTTATGTTCTATGTTCTAAGTTCGAATATATTCAGTCCAGAGTTTCTTTAATGTCTGGTTAGTGATATGGCAGGTAAATCCATTGTCCGATAACGGTGTCGGTAGCAAATCTCAGTGATATCAGAATGGCTGCAGGTGTGTGATGATGTCCTCAAATTCAATAAGTATTTGTGTCATGTTTGATGCAAGTACATATGTTGTAGCATTTCTGTGATGTCATATGTTGTCCCCTGCCTCTACTTGTGGTTGCCTATACTGGCTAATTACTTAAAGGGGAGGCTATCTCTTCACACATCCCAAATACACCCCTGATCACTCCTTATAAAGGTCACCTGACATTTGAATGCTGAGATGTTCTGTGGGAAGGTTCTGCCTGTTTAAGCAGGAAAAAATAGTTATTTTCCAGAATGGGATTGACATAAAGTCCTGGCTTGAAGAAAATAAGGCCAACATTGTAACCAACCAGCCCACAAGCAATAATCACTCCAGGTCATGTTCCTAGCAATTGATACTCAAAGACACATTATCTTCAATGCTGGAAGTTTATATAAATAGTCCTCTAATTACGACCACACTGAGTCCAAATTTTTTGTTTTAAAGCAAGGCAGTTATTAAGTAGTTTTGCCCCATTTTACGCCTTTTTTGCTTTTGTAGTTGTTAAGCAAATCATTGCAGTTGTTAAGTGAATCATGCAGTCATTAAGCAGATCTCGCTTCCCCCATTGGCTTTGTCAGAAGCCAGCAGGGAAGGTTGCAAATAGTGATCACATGACCAACTCATAAATACATGCTAGTTGCCAAGTACCCAAATTTTGATCATGTGGCCATAGGAATGCTGCAATGGTTGTAAGAATGAAAATTGGTCATAAGTCACTTTTTTCAGTGCCGTTATAACTTCAAACAGTCATTAAATGAATGGTTGTAAGTCAAGGACTGCCTGGATGTGTATTGTACGGTTATGATATGCTTTCTCCATTTTCTTTTAAAGCCATTGGAAAGCCAAGGTCCATTCCTAAGCATAAGCTTACAAGAAGTAGTGTGGATCAATCAGACAATCACAAAAATGTGTTGCTTCTCTAAACACGAGCCCTGTGTTACTTGTTGATACTAGAAAGCACTTATAATTATACAACGCAGTTGCTGCATTAACTTTCATCTGTGTTTTGTGCCACATCAAAACAAGCCAAGCAAAATAATCTTCACTCTCCCCTGCACTCTCCCCCCCCCCCTGAAAAATTAACTGGAACAAATTCAATAACCATGCATTAGTTTTAAAAGTCCCAAAGAAGTAACCATTGTTACTCTGTTGTGGCAACAAGTACAGTGAGTCTTGTGGCAAATGTATTGTGTAAGTTTCTAGACGATGTAGCGTGACCAGTAATAACATAGAACAATAATATTAATATAGATATTTGCAATTTACATTATTTTAAAAATACTTTGGACTTTCTTCCCTTTTAGTTAGCTCTTTTATTATCAAATGTTAATGAAGGTTGAAGATATCCCATTATTCACTAGTTGGCCTCTTTTAAACATTTTCTTTCCTGCAGTAATGACAATGATAGTGACAGACCTAGAATTACCAGGGGAGGAATGTATGGAAGAAGCTATCCATTGATACTGACAAGCGTGAAGGCATTGCATGGAGACTGGCGGAAACAGAGAAATGATGAAAAGATAAGGGCAGCAGAGTTGTGCTTCATGTACCGTGTCCCGCCTTGAGTCAATTAGCAGACACATCATTGCACAAAGCAATGGGTCTTCCAAGACTGAAGGATATTGGTATCCATTTTTTTTTAAATAAAAAAAACAGCTTATGTTTCCTTCATCCATTAAAAATGCAATCCTCTCAGTGGAAGACCCTGGTGAAAACAGCTAGAGGAAATGTGCAGGTATTGCGACAAGCCATCGCTTCCCCCCCTCCCCCATCTTATATTAATTTGGAGAGTAGACTTGTTTAGTTTGCATATATATTTGTGATCTGCTTTTGAAAAGGGAGAATGGAATGGAATAACGTGTTGCCAAGTTTGTGTGTATGTGTGTGTATATCTAAGTGAAGGCTTGTTTTCAATTTAAATTAATAAATTGAAATAAAATCCAAAGAATGAAAATTTAAGGGCAAATGAACAGGAGTTAAACCAGTGTATTTAAGAACAAAATTGTTAACATAAATTGCAGTAAATGTCAGCAATAAGAACTGAGATTGCACTGGTGGGATAACTTGGTGGCAGGACAGCTGCAAAAGATCCCAGGTTTAAGCCCAACATTTCTAGGAAGACTTTGGAAAAATAAAACAAAACCCACAAAGCAACATTTTCCGGAGAGGATTTATAAATTTGTATTGAAAAATTGAACTAGATGGATGCCTCGTCTCTTAAGCTATGTTCTTTCTTCACTTTTAGAATCCTGAGAACTTTGCAATATTTTGATTATCACAAATCATATTCTTAGTGCGTTAAAATCCATCAATGAGGAAATGGCTTACTTCGTAACTCAGCATTATTCATAAACACTTTATAACAAAATGATGTTAACAACTTTACTTAATCTAAGATTATGTTACAATAGCAAAGCAGAAGAGCAGATAAATATTCTTGAAAAGAATAGAAAAACTTTTGTCAGTCTAAACTGATAGAACAGAGCCTGGTTAAAACGACCTGAATATTTCAGTTTATATGGATGTTCTTTTAAGTATTTTGGAACCGAATAATTGATGGATGCTAAAGTCCAATAACAGTAACTTGACCTGTGCTTAGAAAAATATTGTATTCTATAATAGCTGAAGTTTCTAGACCAAATTCAAGGGCAGCCTTGAAGCACATTATTAGACAAAGAGAGGCAGAATAGGAACTGACAGTAGAGACAGCAGATTTTATATTGGCAAAGATTTTGCTAACTCACGGAATCAGCAGATAATATTTCAACTCACCAGAGAAGAAAGGCCATTTATGTGTGTTTGAATAAGGTACTGGATTGGAAGATAAGAGTTCTAATGCTATTTAACATATGGAAGCCAACTGCATGACTCTGAGCTGGTAAGTCCTTTTCAATCAAAGGAAGAAGGTCATGGCAACCCCCTTTTGAAAATGCTGCTAAGAAAACTTTGTGGGCTTGCCCAGGTAGTCAGCAGGATTTAGGACTGACTTGAAGGGCAAAACAAACTTTCTTACACATCTACATGTAGAAGCCATTCTGTAATGCAGTAGCTTGATGCAATGGTGGGATTCAGCCAGTTTGCACCAATTCGGCAGAACCAGTAGCTAATTTTTTGTTGCCCAGGCCCAGAATGGACTTCCTGAAGCGGCATCCACACATATATGTTCACATATTTGAATCCCACCACTGGCTTGATGTCATAAAACTGATGTTTAATGCATTAAGGCAATGGAGGAGGGAAGCATTCTATATTAATTTCATGGTCTAATTTTTCATAGCATGAGCAACGTACAGATATGTGCATGCTCCTGGGTTTATGATGGATCAGATGGGCATGGTTGCAAAGCATAATTTGGATTCTTTGCCTGAGGCATAAGATACGTTGGGTGGGTCAGATCCCATTCAAAGTAATGCAGGGACATTCATTAGATTCTATAGCAGGGTGATACATTGTAAAATCATAAGGATTTTTTAAAATAAATCACTTGTGCCCGACAATCTTTATGCTGTCAGGCAAAAATTCTAATTAAAAAGAAAATGTGTGTGCATGTGTGTGCATGCAGCTGTTAATAAATCACCAAATCAAGTGGGCGAAAAAGAAGTGAGTAGAAAAGAAAGGACTGCCACTGAATGGTTTTTTTTTATTAGACAGGGCAGCCCTTTTTTTCCTGAGGGTGAACAAGAACAGAGATCGTAGCTTGCAGTTCGAAGAGGTTGCTGGAGATCATCATTCGGAGAGACCTCGGACTTTCAGCTGAACAAAGACTCTGCCTCTGCACTGTCACAGAGCTGAACCAATAAAAACCAAACTGATATTACAATTTTGATTTCCCAGAGGGCCTGAAAGGGCTTAATGTAAGAATTATTATCCATTGTGAACAGAGGCTGATATAGAAGACCCACAGGATATGGCAGGGCCGATTTCTAAAAATAAAAGGATCCGTGCTTTCTTTAAGCAATGCTAATTTTTCTATCAATGTATTTCTGCTAAGAATTTGTTAAACTCTTTCGGACGGAAGAGAAATTCTTAATTTTTTTTAATGACACATGTACTTATAATCTTAAGAAAACGCATACACATATATACTTTGCATATGATGCGGGAGAAAACCTGAATAACCAAAGACCTACATACAAACACCCGCGAAAACCTCAGAAAACACACATATATATACTTCCCTCCCTAACACAGCTGGCAAAATTGAGAAAGCCTGTGGCCTAGAGGTTAACACAGCTGCCTAACATGTAGACGGCCCAGGTTCGAATGTGAGAAGGGTATGTCTGGTTGAAAAGAACTAAAAAGTTTGAAATAGCTATTCCAGTTCTCCCTTAATTCTTTGCTAGCAATACAAGGGAGCACTGGTCATGTACAAGAGCAGAAGATACATCCTGGAACCCAGCATTTGATATTAGAATCATTCTATTCCATAAGTAGTCCAAATTGCTAAAAAGCCAGAGCTGTTTTGATATATAGATTTTGGCAGGAATGTCATCTGGCTTCTTCTCCCAGACTGATTGCACTTAATTTGACAGTACTGTAATGATTATAATCAGGCTTATAATGTGTCTTTGGCTTCACTGTAGCTGAGAGTTTCATGAACTTTTGCTTCGTGATACCTGTCTCCTCAAAAATATGCCATTCTGCAAGAAACCACAGGAAAGCCACGTTCACTAGAACAATGCCTTTATTTATCTTAATGACTAAGGGTTATTATATTAAGAAAGCCAGTTTGGTCTAGTGATTAAGGCGCTGGGCTAGAAAGCGGGAGACTGTGAGTTCAAGTCCTGTCTCAGCCATGAAAGCTAGTTGGGTGTTTTAGGCCAGTCACTCTCATTCAACCCAACCCATCTCACAAGGTTGTTGTGGGGAAAATAGGAGGAAGTTGTGTTGGATATGTGTGTGCCACCTTACGTTATTTGTAAAAATAAAGATGGGAATATAAATAAATAAATAAATATTTTCCTGTAAAGAATACGATACAGAAGGATTATAAACTAGACACAATATAAGATTAAGACATCCATAAAATTATTTAATGCATACCTATTGTATTGTCTTAACCAAGAGCCTTCTAAATCTTTCTTCTTTAACACTGGTGGGCAGATATGTGACTATTGCCTCATAAATTAGCTACACTTCTAGTGCACTTAACAAAGGAAAAAGTCATAGACATGCTAGAACCCATTTTTGAGTAAGCATGGGTAGAATTGTATAATCAGAAAACAATGCTGGGCAATCCTGGGCATGTTTGTTTTTTCAGGAAACAACTTACATTCTTTGGTTTTTTTTAATAGGGGGTACAAGTGAAATCCTAAATATCTCCCTGAGTGAAAATTTCATTGAATTTGGTGGTTTAAATTAAGTGAAATTTTCACTTAGGGAAGTACCGTATGTACAGGATTTTACTTTTTCCCCCATATCAAAAACAAGTTTTACATTGATTAACAGCACCATATAAAAGAGAGGAGAGTTTTCCACCCATTTCCTTAAGATCTGTAGTGGTCTGATTGAGAGTAAATACAATAATGGTTTTCCAGTTGCATATAGAACCAATCATATCAAACTAATCTGATCTTTTTGTGATAGTGTAACCTCTTTAGCAGACCACAGGAATGCAGTTAACACATGAACTGTGGCTTCAGCAAAGCTTTTGCCAAAATCTCCCAATAGATTTTAATTGAGAAAACAGTAAAATGTGGGATGGATTATGCTACCATTAGATGAATACTGAGTTCTTTGAGTCATTATATCCAACATGCATGCATCAATGCCTGCACATCAGGCTGGAAGGAAGTGTCAAGAGGCATAATGCAGAGTTTAGTGCTAGAGCCCACACTGTTCAACATACTTATAAATGGCTTAGACAAGAGATAGATGACACAAAAATAGTGGGGCAGGGGGATAGCAAATACCTTAGATCACAGTTTCTGGATTCAGGAGGGTCTTGGCCATTATTGTTGTTGTTGTTGGTCACACAGTCAACTGGATGTTGAGACTGGATTTGACACTTTTATCCACCTTTCAAGTCCTTCACAAGGATCAGAGATAGACAGGTGTTGTTGCTTGATAGTGTTAAAGTATTGTGACAGGATATATATTCTAAGTAAAGTTGTCTTCTTGCAATTGACTGTTTTTGTCAGTTCTGATAGTGTTCAAGTGGCGCTCTAGATGTTTTGGGATTCCACTCAAGGTGCTAATTATTATGTATTATTACCTTTAATAATTACTATAATTACTAGAGCAATGGTGGTGCAGTGGTTAGAATGCAGTGTTGCAGGCTAATTCTGCTGACTGCCAGCAGTTCGATTCTCACCGCCTCAAGGTTGACTCAGCCTTCCATTCTTCCGAGGTTGGTAAAATGAGGACCCAGATTGTTGGGAGCCATATGCTGACTCTGTAAACCGCTTAGACAAGGCTGTAAAGTGGTATAAAGTCTAAGTGCTGTTGCTATTGCTACTATTATTATTACCTTTACTTCTTTTTGCTTCTTATGATTATGGTTATTAATTTGAATTTATAAGCTGCTCAGCTCCAGTGGACAACCTGGAGCAATTGGCAGAAGCCAGTAAAAGGACTTTAATTGAGACAAATGCAGAGTGCTATACTGGATAGAAAAATTCAAAGACATTCAATTAATACAGTGGTTCTCAACCTGTGGGTCGGGACCCCATTTGGGGTAGAACGATCATTTCATGGGGGTCGCCAAACCACGCTGTCCGCCATTTTTTCCCCTTTTCCCTAGCTGTCCTACTCCCTCTTATTGGTGGCCACACCCACTTCGGGGTCACCACAACATGGGGAATTGTATTATGGGGTCACAGCATTAGAAAGGTTGAGAACCACTGAATTAATACAATGAATACTGGATGGCAATGAGGACACCATACAGGGCATTGTAGGTGCAGAACGGATCTTCCAGACTGTGTACTAATACTAGATTTTGCTCTGCTGTGCAGTGTGTATATGTGCAGACTGTTTTCTGGCCCATGAAGTGACTTTAACCTTTTCCTTAAATCTTGCTTTTTCAGACAATAAAATTTCACTGTATTCCTGAGTAGTATTTTCAGCAAAAGTAGAAAAAGGTTGAGACTATGACCTAGTAGCTTAAGATCTTTCCTTGTAGCTTAAGACCCCCTGGCTTATTTTCTTTATTTGTCTTTTCGAACTGTAAGCACAGCATCTATGTACATTGCTCCACTGTCTTTGGAGTAGGGTGGAAGGCAAAGGAGATATGACTATTGTGCCTTGGGAAAGACAAAATAAAGACATGGGTGAGCATTTCTTTTCCTAGTGATCTCTAAAGGACTGGACTACAATTACCATCACTACAGCTTCTTGATCAGTTTGATGAGAATTGTACTAACCACTAGAAGACATTAGATTAGGGAAGACTGTTGCAGCTTCTCACGCAAGAGGCAATTTCTAGCATTTTCTTTGGGCCAAGTTTAAAAATGCAGGAGCCACTGAGTTTTTTGTAATTTTGACACCACCAGGGCTGTGTGTGTGTGTGTGTGTGTGTGTGTGTGTGTGTGTCTTCTCCTGGAAGTAAATCTATCTTTATTCCAATTGGTTGACATGCATAGAAATGATAGCTATTTAAATATATGGAGAAAATCTGAAATACAAGTATTGTGAACAATGAATGATTATCTTGCCTATTGCTGGCAAGATCCTGTGGCTGTTGATGGCTAAGGGAAATTATCTGACTTTTTAATTCCAGATATCAAAAGGTAACATTTGTTTTCCATACATTTGGCTTCCACTTTGCTTTGTGTGTTTGTCTTTGTCAACTCTCCTTGGACATGCGCTTTTCCATCTGTTTTCTATATCCAGGGGAAGAGCTTTACAAAACCTTGAGTCTTAATCAATACAATCGTTAGGACTGTGCTGCAGGTGAGCTTCCCACGTCTGGCTTGGTATTCTGTCTAGACTTTGTGGGAAATCATCTGTAAAGAGACAAGAACAGTAGCCGCCAACTGCCAGCATTGCTTCTTCAGTCCACATAGTCTGAATGGTTCATATAAAGCTGACAAGTACTATATATCTCCTTCCTTTACCATGGACAGGCAACTAAACAAAGTAGTGTGTGTCCCAGGACTGCAGAACTTAGGGACTAACACAATATTGTTCAGGGGTTCCCCAATCCTCACCCAGCTCAGGAGCAGGTATGGTGAAATGGCTTTTTCTAATAGCACCTTAGCAATGTTACATAACAGCATGGCAGGTTTTTAGGTTTTGAGCTTATTACACATGTCCTGTCTGAAGTGGGGACCTCATCTGGATTGTTCATTCCAGGTATAGACATGTCTTCAAATTCAGTCACTTTGCTTTTGTAGTTGTCTCTCAGACAGCTGAACAATTGCCAACAATAAGCTCAGATGACTGTTTAGCTAAAGTATTAGATTTGCCTCCACGTGCAGCCCCGAGACCTGTGGAACTTAAAAATAAAGAGATTTATTGTGGCATAAGCTTTGAGAGATGAGACGTTTCCTTGTTGGTTAATAACTTGGTAAAATAGTGGATAAGAGAGAGGGAGGGAGATCCACAGTAGGACCAAACAATCACAATATATTTAGGTAAATAAGTTATATCTAAATCTTAAAGCAGTACACTGAATGTCCCGAATTGCACCTTTTGTATTTCATGGCTATCTGGCCTCACAGCCTACATTTATTTCCTCTATATCTATTAGACATACTGTAAGTAATTACACTAGATAGCTGAGAACCATTCTTTCGTGGGTTGAATTCTGCTAGATCATCCTAGTCGAGAACATACAGATATGTTATAGCAAATATGTCAGCCTTTCAGGTATGCCACATCCCTTTTGTGAGCTTTGCTGCATTGCATGAAAGGAGCCCCTCTGTAGTGTAGAAATTTGTCGCTGTCAATCAGCGGCTGGTCAGCTCCTTCAGGAAGGCACCATTTGAGAGCTTTCCTTTTAAGGGACTAGT